TTTAATATACAACGCTTTTATAAATGGACTAAAAAATAGAAAATAATATTTCTCAGTCCCACAGAATTTGTTTTGATAACTTTTGATTTGAAATTTTAGCAAAAGTCATTATAAACAATTAATGACATTGAAAACGAAAAACGTGGAGCGCATGCAGCACAAAGCATTCGATTTCATTGACAATAGTCAAACTACATAACATTCTATAGCGAAAGTACAAATTTGAGATCGATTTTAAGCGGTCGTTATTCATATGCCCACATACATATGTACATACATATGTTACTTTTCATATCAATTCAAGTGTATTACATGCGCCCCACGCATTTCATTTTCAATGCCATTAATTGTTTATAATGACTTTTGCTTAAATTTCAACATCAAAAGTTATCAAAACAAATTCTGTAGGACTGAGAAATATTATTTTCTACTTTTTACTCCATTTATAAAAGCGTTGTATATTAAAAAGATGTGGCGTGTCGTCCATTTCCGCTGTGACGTATATAAATAGTGCATATATTTAGGCGCAATATTTAACTTCTTCGACATCTAGAGTCTTCTAATTGTATCTCCTTGATATGATGCCTACAATGAGGTTCATATCTAGACTAGGTAAATAGCTTTGCTACATTTATAGTAGGTGCATTCTATTGCAACCGAGCTACAAAAGAACACTCGCTTAAATGACGAGAGACACGCAAAGCAACAACTCAAACTCGGCTATTTATCCGAGCTCAGCCAGGTCGGTTAAAAAATACGCGACCTGAAGGCAAGTGTTGGTAAGTGAAAAAACTGCTCTATTGTGAATTGTTAATGGGAAAGTTGAAAGGGAAATTTTTGCTTCCTTTTTATACGCAAATACCTCGCATAATTACTCATTTAAATTTTTATATCTAAATCCCGTTAAACTAATCACATTTTCTTGCCAGCTACCAACAGGGTTGCTTACGTAGCTAAAAGGAAATTGTACCCGAGTTGAGCGTTCTTTTGTCGCTCGCTTACAAAAAAATGCAGCTAGTATAAATGGTGGTCTGGACATACAACATTAAAAGCGGTCTGGACATACAACATTGAGCAAGTTGATAAAAGCGTTGTAATAAAAATACTTTGGCATTGAAAACGGGACATATTTTGATAAATATTTCAGATGTGTGTTTGTGAAAAAAGGTCTTTTCCAATAAAGGATTTTTTGATGCAACTATCTTACTATGTTTTAGGGTGGTCCTTAAAATACTAACTTCATGGTGCACCCCTTTCTTGCTTTCTATGTACAAAATATAGACATCCACGAAATTAAAACAAAAAAATATATATATTAGAAGGAGAGAGCCAACAGGGTTTGGAAAAGTTGAGTATTATGGAATATATGGAACTGGATTAACTGGAGATAGTGCTCTTAGCTCTTTAAGAAATAACCAAATTTTAACAAGGTGACTATTTTTGCACGTATGCACTTGGGTTTCACCTCTTCAAAATGAGGTCTCGATCATTGAATTTGTTTGAATATTAAGAGATACATCTTGGGGTAACATAAAAAAAATGCTTTATTTTCAAAACCTTGCTTGCTATCCACTTCTGAAGTAAAGACTGACATTGTCGGGTCACTCAGGCAAAAGCATTAAAATTCCGACTTACATTTTCACATGCATTTTTGGACCACCCTACCCTACAACCGTTCGTCGGTTTGAGCCGAGATCGAAAAACTTGGACAATCGCCTCTTTGCTTTACGAGATTGTCCCACTTTTACATCCCCCGAGTGCAGAGCGGTCCCTCTGCACTTGGTCCTTTTATTATGTTCGTGGGTGCCCTTTCTTTCTCTTTTTCCTTTCATTCCAATATTGATCAGCAAAAATTTATTTTCTGCCTAAGAGGCCATACATTGCTCATGTTTTTTAAGAAGCAACACACATATTTTTCGGAAATTTTCTTTTTACATCAACTCACGGTATCTGAATCGTGACACTCTGGCCATAAAAGGAGAAGCCAAAGTCAGTAGTCTGATCTGGGTTTGTAGTGATTATTGTTTTTTTTTCATTAAAAAAAATTCCATAACTATGGTCTCAAGCTCAATACAATTGTTGATTAAAATATTGAGCTGGGGTTTTCGGCTGATAGTGAGATTTTATTTGTGAGGCACTTTCAGTTTAATTTATGTAAATTCGATTTTACACTACCCCATATTTTTAATGGGTGGGATTTTCCACAATGATAATTTAAATAGTATACTCGGAAAAATTATTATTAAATTGAAATGCATTTCGTCGGTGATACTGCAAAGCGTTCTATGTCACTTATTACCTCTGGTGTTTAATTGATCTGTTATCTGTATCTGATCGCTTCTGGCAACCGTTCATCTTCATCACCCAAAAGTAGACAGTTTTGACATTCGTTTATTAGGGTGTAACGATTCGCAGATGCGTACCGGTGCTGGTAACATACCATCTAAGTGCTATAAGGGTACTAATTGACATACACCGTTTTGTAGTATCACCGCCGATTTGCCATTATTGTTATTCTAAAAATAAATTACATAAGTATATCACAATAAAAAATATGTACATACACATAAACGAACAAACATATATACATACATAGGATGCATGCTAGGCCGCACTCAGGAATCTTCTTTCCCCTGAAATAAAGTCTTCATTGCTTCTCCAGCTCATAGGGAGACTAAACATCTTAGCGGCAAACAACAAAGTTATCTTTCTCTGAGTTTCGTATCACAAAGTCCTAGAAGGTAGCGACGATACAGGCGTGCTTACAAGGAAGTCACAGCACCCACAACAACAATACGTATCGAGCGCTTCTTGCAAAATGACCACATCCCTAAAGTGAATATCTTATGTGAGAAGAGAGAACAAGAAGAGCACAGCACCGGCAAAGAAGCTCGTTACCATTTATTCTGAGAGTGAAACATCGAAAGGGACCATTAACGCGGTATGGGTATCCGGGCATAGTGAAATACCTGGAAAGTGCTCGTCAGATAAGCTTGCAAAGGGAGGGAACTCACCTAAGATCAGTTAACTCTGCGCGTGATATTAGGCGCCCCACAGTCTTCGCGTAAACACCGACTGAAAACTGTTTTCATTGAATTGACCAACGTACGATGGGCGAAGGAACCAACCTGTTTCGGTACTAAGCAGATCTGGCCAAGTATCAATGAGAAAAGATCTAAAACTCTCATACGCATTTGTCGTCCCATTATTGGCCCAGTGGGCGGTATCATAACAGGGCACTGCTTAATGGGAGCACATCGTAAGCGGATGAGCTAAGATTTTTGTTGTGGCTGCAGGGACGAGGAGGAGGAGGTGAAGAATGTAGAGCACTACCTCTGCCGCTGCTCCGCTCTGGCAAGGTCACGAATGGCTATTTTTTTTTAAACACCTCTTTCAGTGTTTTTCCGATCTCGCCTCTGTGGACATCCGCTAACTTCAACGTTACGTCAATGTGTAACATGGTGGTTCTATTACCGTGAAAACTGAGAAAAGGAACAAGAGCTCGCTAGAGTGGCATCACAATAGACCTAAATGTGCGTACTGGCAACCACCGTAACCTAACCCAAGCTAGGTCCATGGAGGAAGAAGAATGCTGACCGTAACGCTTGAGACTACTAGCATTTCGCAGAACATCAACTACATATGTACAGTTTAGAGCGTTTGACTGCGGTATCGGTTACAGCCAAATATTTTCGTTTGATCAATTTGGTAGATATGGAGAAAATAATGCATATGCAATCGTTTACCGTACTTACAAATGTACATATGTATATACATATGTATGTACATATGTATAAAAGTACATACGTACTGTTAATAGAAAGTTTTGCTCGCACCTGCATAATTTTCTAACTCGAGGCGTTTCTTGCCTTATTTAGAATTAACGGTTATAAGAATAATGAATATGAAACAATGCACTTTTATGAGAATATGTGATTATATCTGAATGTATATTAGGGTGCATCACTCCCATACAAAAAAAAACAAAAAAAAAAATCGGTACTGTTTTTCCATTGGAAATGTAAAATTTATTATATTCTAATGGCCTTATTCATAAAAAATAAAGTAGGTTTAAAGAGCTTTATAAATTGACGTTTTCATACATTTTTCAATTTATAAACCTTTTATAAAGCTACTTTATTTTTTATGAATAAGGCCATAAGACTGTCGCCAAAATTTTTCGGAATAATATTAAGATTTACGTGAAATGAACTTTTTTTTAAAATAAATCCAAAAATTTTGTTTTTTATAAAATAGGAGGGGAGTTTAAGCTGAAAAGGTCTGCATAAAAATGTTGAAAAATATTATCAGTGGAATCAAAATAATGAGATTTTTGGACATACATATTTTTAAATCGGAAATATTTAGTCCCAAGTCTTAAAAAATAATAAATTTTATAATTGTTGTGAAAAAACAGCGAGTTTTTTTTTGGTGATTAACCCTAATGTATCTACATATATGGATGTATGTATGGCCACGTTGTGCACTTTTCTATGACACACACGTGTTCATTTGATTGGTAGTTTTTCTTCAAAAGCCAGAAAAAAGTCTAAACTTAGAGCTAGTACTCTATAGAAAATTGTATTTAGTTTCTATTTTTCCGGTTGTTGTTGTTGCTTCTGACTGCCTCCTCAGCTACTGAATCTATCAATTACATACAAATATGTGTACATACATACATAGATACTTCCATATGCTGCGGCATACTAGCCAACAGCAATAAATCGTAAGAAGAAGAAAATCCAATTTATATAACAAAAATGGTAGAACGTTTTTTCCCCAGCATTTTGCTTTAACAAATTGCGAAATTATTTCGAAAAAAA